TTCAATTGTCACACAACAACATTGACTCAACAACTTGGACAGACGGACCGACCTTCTTCAATACCACTACAAAACACCCTAATTTACCATGCAATATTATAACTAAATCAGATTAAATAAAAACATCAAATTGTAATCAAGGTGCTACATCCTTCAAAACATGCACAACTGCCCGTACTATTTAAAACGTTACATAACAACAACATAGATGAACTAAATCAACACCTCATAATATTTAAGTTTTTCAAACTTTATTAGGCAACACAAAGTGTTCACAATTTGAAATTTGAAATAAATTCATCCAACAACAAATTCATGGTATTCAAAACATCCAAGAGTTCATGAGACTCCAACAATTCATCATCAACAAAATAAATATATAACGTTCATTCCCCCTTAGTGTTACATATCATAGCACGATACCGATTCGAAATAAATGACGAGAATCTTCCTCTATTGAGGATCACTTGCGTGTTACCCACATGGAGGTAACATTAAAACATAAGGGGTGATATATCACAATATTATAAAAGAAAGCATAATAATAAGCAAATAGCAATTCATTACGCATAGTCATACATCCTTCATCTCACACTTTCACATCATTTACATCACTTACACGACATGTCAAAATATACAATCAAACATCCAAGCAACACACGTCATTCACTACTGTATATCACATATATCATCTACATAATACAACATCAACATACATCATTTGCATAATACAACATAAATATACATCATCTACATAATACAACATCAGGTTAATAATCATAATTCAATATAATTATACTGACACCGACTCAATACATGTGGTACCAACAAAGTATAAACCCTCTCCATAATGCCAAATAGGGTAGCATAGGGCATAAGCCCTCACCATAACGCCAACAGGCCAACAACAGGGCATAAGCCCTCACCAACGAATGCATGCAACATCGACATGAAACAACATAATTATATCACTACAGGGTATAAACCTCAATGTTACGCCTTACAGGCTAACAACATCATCATCATCATTATGCAGCATATTATGCAATTCATCAATACATTTCCATACAAAATCATTATGTTCGAATTCAACGTTATCACTATATCTCATACGAAAAATACACCCAAGGCATAATACTTCACCAAAATAATCGTCTATTGTTATCAAAACTATTATCATTGAAAATATTATCGCGCTAGCTTTCTAACGCTTCGAACAGTGCTCAAAACAGACTCGCGGTTTAAAAGTTATGATTTTTCAAAGTTCTAACCAAAATGTAAACATTGACGTCATACACTGACACTACAAAACCTTATTAAACACCAATTGAATTTATTTTCCGAACATGAAACTATTTTTATAAGAAAGTAAAATGTATTAGCTTTCCGTAGGTTAAAACGGTGCGTCAACGGACATCCGAGTCAAAAGTTGTGATTTTTACAAGTTTTGAGAAAAAGCTGTCAACTGTAGGAAATCGGTTCCCTCCAAATGAGAAATCGATTGCCACATTTACAGTGACCAATTTTGAGATTTTCGCTTCAGGAAATCAATTTCCACACTCCCAGAGGTCATTTTTCAAAAAAAAAATTTTAAAATTTCAGTTTAGGAAATCGATTTCCACTGTTTGACAATGAAAAATTCTGCAACTTTTTCTGGTAAGAAAGTAAGTTCTATTAATTCCAAAACTCCAATTTTCCAACTGAGACAATGTATCATGATTTCATAAATTATATACATACATCACCATCATTCCAACATATTTCACATCATCAATTTTGTCAAATTCATCACAATACATCAACAATTCATCAAAATATCAATCATACAAAACACAGAATTTTTTAGAACACAAGAACACACAACTATGATAACCTACTCACTACCATAGTCCATCATTATGCAATCCATTATAGAGTTAGAACCTCACCCTTATCTTAGATTGATAATTTTTAACTTTTATCGCAGATTCTTTGGTTCTAGTCTCGAGTACGCTCTTCTTCTCTTTTCCCTTTCTCGTCCTCTATTTTCACGTTCTCTCTTCTCAGTTCCTTCTTTTCCCAAATTTAACCTTTAGACCCCTAACATTTATTTCTTCTTATGCTCTTCCTCATTAAAATAATAATAATAATATGATTATAAAAACTATAATTAGTATTTTGATTCAAATAATATTAATATTAAACCAACACTCTTTTTTCTACATTTTTAGTCATACACCCCTAATGTCTAAACCTTCTTCATTTCTAAGATAATTACTCCTTATTAAGGCATCACAACCCATCGAACATAACAATTATTTGCAATCACATATACTCTCTTAATATTTATTTATAAAATTAAATAAATAAAAATTGGGCTCTTATAGTTGCTATTTCCCTCATGGTAAGTCTTTTGATTGAACAAGATAAACAAATCTTTCGTCTTTTTCTTGTTTTATTCTGTTATATCTTGTCTTTTTCTTGTTTTATTCTGTTATATCTTATGTGTATTATTTATCATTGCTGAAGGCTATTTATTTTAATTGCTACTATTTTTTCTCTCGCATATTAAAATTGAACCTTATCGTTTTTCACAATAATACTATTAGACATTAAAGTGACAAATAATGAAGAACAAGAAACCTCCCATAGTAATTGTTTTTTGTATTTCTCATAGTAGCAAAATGTCATGGAACTTCTTGCAACACAACAAGTTCCAAGATTTTTAAAATAAGAGATGAAGATTAAATATTTACTATTGGATTTGATAAATGACCTTAATAAATATTTATTGTCTATGCTTGCTTGCATGTGATTTCGTCATACCATTTATCAAATCAAATAGTTAATATTTAATCCTCTTATCTCTTATTTTAAAAGCCATCATACTTGATACATTTCATATATATATATATATATATATATATATATATATATATATATATATATATATATATATATATATATATATATATATATATATATATATATATTAGGGGTATCAAAACGGATCGTCTGCCCCGTCCCGCCCCATCCCACCCCCTCCTTAAGCCCGCCAAAAATAGAGTAAGGCGGGCTAGCCCGTCAAGTGAAAATGGATATAAAAATCTAGTTCGTCCCGTTAAGGTGGAGAGTTGATGGACGGCGGGCTTGCCCACCTACTTTTTTAATAGATTAATATGTTTCTTTTTTTTACATTTCAATTAAATATTTTACTTATTTTTTAAAGCAATTTTTTATAAAGCATCTTTTTAATAAATTTTACTTCAAAAAATAATGCATATATTCACAAATAAATGTATAAAATAAAATCATCAAAAATTAAAATTACTAAAATTAATTTTAAAATGTTGAATTTAAGGTAGGACAAGTTAAACGAATACGTGTAGCAGACATTAGCGGACGGCGAATTTTTATAGGGCAGATTTTAACGGATTTAGCAGAACGGACTTTAGTGGACGGCGGTCTTTAAACACACACACACACACACACACACACACACACACACACACACACACACACACACACACACACACACACACACACACACACACACACACACACACACACACACACACACACACACACACACACACACACACACACACACACACACACACACACACACACACACACACACACACACACACACACACACACACACACACACACACACACACACACACACACACACACACACACACACACACACACACACACACACACACACACACACACACACACACACACACACACACACACACACACACACACACACACACACACACACACACACACACACACACACACACACACACACACACACACACACACACACACACACACACACACACACACACACACACACACACACACACACACACACACACACACACACACACACACACACACACACACACACACACACACACACACACACACACACACACACACACACACACACACACACACACACACACACACACACACACACACACACACACACACACACACACACACACACACACACACACACACACACACACACACACACACACACACACACACACACACACACACACACACACACACACACACACACACACACACACACACACACACACACACACACACACACACACACACACACACACACACACACACAGTTTTAAAATAATTTTCATAAATTTAAAAAAAAATATTAATTAATAAAATTAGTAAAATGACTTGATTAATAAAAAATTAATAAATTCTATGCCACATCATTAAAAAAAATAACACCTATTAAAAATATGTATATGTAAAATTATTTTATATCAACACACGACACTATTTTTAAACTCTTGAAATTAATAAGGTAATAGATTTCGTGAGTAGCATATGATAGAAACAAAATTGTAATTTAAAATTAAAATAAAATTATGGATGGAGATATTAAACAAAATATATATAATTAAAGAGAAAATGAGTGATGTATTGATAATATAATTTTTTTTTATATTTTTAATTAATTATGATTTTTAGAGTTAAAAAATAAGATACTGATAATATAAATAAAATAGTTGTATACTGTCATTCAATAAAAATAAATATTAAAAATAATAATTTAATTAAATAAATAATTGTAATAAATTACTATGTAAAAATATATTACGATAAGTGCAATAACCATTTTCTCATATTTTTATTGGAGGACATTGTAAATTTTTTTAACCTAATTGTATCTTTCTTAAACTCATAATCATAGTCTTTGTGAGTATTTAAAATAAACAAATAATTTAATTGAATAAATAATTGTGATAAATTACTATGTAAAAATATATGCAATAACCATTTTCTCATATTTTTATTCGATGATGACATTGTAATATATTTTTTTTTAATGTAATTGTATCTTCCTTAAACAGATAATCATAGCCTTTGTGACTGGAGGACCGACTTATTTCCATTTAACAGCTTCTTAACAACTGAGAATTCAGACCAAAAAAAAACGACAAAATCCAAATCAGATCAAGAACACCATGAAACTCAGGCTCAGATCTTTCGAATCCAAAGAAACCCTAAAAATCGAAGTTCCCGATCCATGTTCTCTTCAACAACTCAAATCCAAAATTTCCACCATCCTCTCTTCCTCTTCCTCTCTTCATCTTTCCCTCAACCGAAAAGACGAAATCACCCCTCCCTTTCCCACCGATTCCCTCCTCTCACTCGGCGTCGCCACCGGCGACCTCATCTTCTACACCTTCAACCCCACCGCCTTCTCCTCTCAACCCCTCCCCCACAAACCCGCCGCAGAAAACCCTCCGACTTTACCAGAAAAGCCCGCAGAACCGCAAACCCTAGAAATGGCGGATGCGTCCGATGAAACCGCGGTGAAGAACAATTCAGAACCTGATTTTGTGAAAAGGATTCTCAAAGAAGCGCTTGGTGATGATGTTACCGATTTCAAACTCTTGGTATTTGCGGTTCATGCTGTTATTTTCGAATCTGGGTTTGTTCGTGTTGATCGAGATTCGGCTAAGGCGATTGATGACTTTTCGTCTTCTTCAATGATATCTTTGAGGTATACACTTCCTGAGATTGTTACTAAAGGTTTATCTCATGCTGTGGATTTAAAGATTCAAACTTTAGGGAATTTTGTGAATGTTTGTGGTTCTTTGGTTGATGATGTTGGGTCTAGGGTTCATAGGGTTTATTTAGATAAATTTAGGTTTGCTAAGCCTTTAGAGTTGATGCTAGCAAACTCTGAACCTAGTGGTAATGCTAATGTTGGTGTTAGTGGTGATGTTAATGATGGTGGTGATGATGAAGTTTTTGAATTGTGGAAGATAGTGAAAGATAAGCTTGCATTGCCGCTTTTGATTGATCTTTGTGAGAAAGCTGGATTGGATCTTCCGCCTTGTTTTATGCGGCTTCCAATGGAACTTAAGCTTTTGATATTTGAGTATCTTTCGGGTGATGATTTGGCGAAAGTGTGTTGCACTTGTTCGGAGTTGTCTTACCTTGCGTCGAATGATGAGTTATGGAGGAAGAAGTTTGAAGAGGAGTTTGGAGATAGGATGACTGGGATGAAGTTTTTTAAGAACTTGTTTGCGCATTATTGGGCAACTAAGAAGAAATCAAAACAAAAACCGCCATTTTTTCCAACTCCTCGGTCTGGTATTATGAGATACTTTCAGAGGAGAAGAGGTCCTCATCCTTTTGGAGTGCCTCCAATTTGGGGTGGTGAGTATGATCTGCAGCCAAATTTTGGTGTGAATCTCCCCCTTGCATACACACCGAGGCGAACTTTCTTTCCCCCATGTCATTTTTAGGAGAATTTTAATGAATGATCTGACGAGTCGAAGTGTGGGACTATATCATCCTTGTACTGAAACAACTTTGCTAGAGTGAATACATGATAAAGAACTGGTTGTGAATGGTTGTGAATGATGTAAGAAGATTTATAAAAAATGTTCTTCCTTTTGGTTATACATTTTGAATAGAATCCATGTATGTATGGTGTTGGGAGGAAATAATTGTTCTCAATGTGTTTGGTTCCAGTGTTTAGGTAAAAATAATTTCTGTTCAGCACAAGAGCATGTAGATGATGATGTTTCCGAACATTTTTTTATCAATAATGCAAATGGAACTGTTTTTCATTTATCATCTCTGTTGCGGCTGCTGGCGTTAGAATGCATTCTGTTTTTCATTTTGTTTTATCATGTGGTGTATGCTTGAATTGCTAACAAAAATACTTGGTGAATGATGGGTGTAGTTTTGGTGTTTCTTTGCATTATGCAGTACAGGTTGGTGTTTTACATAGACTAAAAAAATTGTATAAATTAAAAGAGAAGAATATATTTGTTAGACAATTTTATATAGATTTTAAAAATTGTATAAATTAAAGGAGAAGAGTATATTTGTTAAAATGTTTGGTCATGCATGTATTAGTATATTGGGTTGAAAGTAATGTATCTAAAAAACATATTTTTTTAAGGATAAATTGAATTACTAATATTATTGGACAATACAATAACAATTAACCTTTGTCTCATTAAGTGTGTTTGGTTACATCATAATGTTTTTATTCAAAATTATGCTTCTATAAATTGTTAATCTTGAGATTTTTTTAAAATGATTTCTCTTATAATTTTCTAGATCTTGTTATTCCTCTAGATGTTTGACTTGTCTCAATCTTATCTACTATACTTCTCTTAATCTTATCTACTCTTTTTATCACATAATTTATATGTCTTCTTTCTACACTCTCAAATCAATTAAGTTTATTTTTCACTATTTTCTCTACTATAGATTATATCTTCAATACTCTTTAATATTATCATTTTTAGTCTTACTATACATTCAATGCAACATCCCCATCTTTGTTATATTATTTTATTTCCGTGTTGATTCTTAAGCGTTAAATATTTTATCCCGTATAACATCGCAAGTCTTACTGCATTCTTATAAAAATTTCTCTTTCATTTGGCGCTACCTTTCCGTCACATAGAATCCCTGGAGTTCTCCTCCATTTCAGCCACCCAATTTGAATTTGATGATTTACATTCCCTCCAATTTCACAATTATTTTGTATTACAGTCTCAAGATATTTAAACCGTGTGACTTGTGGTGACTTGAGGGTTGACATGGTCTTCAACTTTCACTATTATGATAGAAACAATATTCTTTTGTTGAAATTACATTTCATATACTCTATCTTATTTCTACTTAGACGAAAATAACGTGTTTTTAAAGTTTGTCGTCATGTCTCCAACCTCTCATTTTAATCTTCCTTCGACTCTCAAAGTACGATTATATCATTTGTAAAAAGCACACTTCTGTGTGCTAGTTCCTAGATGTGTTTCGTGAGTACATCCAAAATTAAAGTAAAAAAGTAAGAGCCTAAGGTTGAACCTTGATGTAAACCTATTTTAATGAAAAAATTGTTTGTCTTTCTATTTTGTGCATGCACACTAGTCGATATCCTTTCATATATATCTTGGTATTGACTAGTATTTTTAGTAAGCATATCATAAGTTTTTGTTCACTTAGGGGTTAAACTAAAAAAAATCTTAAAGATAATTTGTGTAAAATGGCTTAAGAAAACGTATTCGTGCTTGATCACTTAGTGCTTGAATGTAGAACATTGTATAAGAATTTCAAGAAGTAAAATGCAAAATTGCTTGAATGGATAAAGTAAACGAAGAAAGCTAGTAAAATAATCGAATGAAAATACTTGAATAAAAAATAGAACACAAATCCATACATTTCTTACAAATTTTGAATCTATATGACATGGATGTGCGAATTCTAAATAGAGTAGAATGAAAATGCGAACCCTTGTAATAGAGACGAACTCTACTTATAAAATATGTACATTAATAACCGTCGATAATGGTCAACTCTCCAACACTCGACCCGTACACTATTACGTGGGTTTATATCTTCTACTTTGCTTCCACGTGCCTTCAAACTGCTGTAAAACCATTACTACTGTCAAGAGACAACTTTAAATCTTTCAACTATCTTTGTCGATAGTCAATTTCTTTCTTGTCGTATCTTTGTAATTTTGACGTCGAAAAACATGATTCAGCTATATGTGATTAACTTATGTATTTATCTCACATCCCCGCTCCTGTCGAATATGCATTAGTTGAAACTTACAGGCTAATATATGCCTCACAAAAATCTCATTATCGATCATGTTTATAAAATGGAAGAAAGTGACATTTTTAGTAAATTCTCGACACTATTCAAAGTAGTCTGTATAATTCATTGTCATCATGACCACTTTTATCTATCAGTCATGTCAATAAACGTGTGTGCAACCATCATCATGGCTCCAACTTCCTAGGCTATTATTTCCCCCAAGATTTATTTCAAATTAAAAAATCATTTAATCTCTAATGATTTTCATAAAAGACTGAAATTTAAAACGTTAATGGGTTTTAACTTTAGGAGAAAAAACTGATAATTTTCACTTTAAAATTTATATATAACCTCTCTTTTGCTTATCTCGTCTTCTTCGTAATATGGCTTTCTTATCTGAACTCTAAAAGTTTTTGTTCTCATGTAACTTCCTTCTACTATATGAATAATGACTTCTTATTCTGGCATGAAAAAATAACTCCAAATCCCTTATGATGTTGATCTATAAGGACTCGTCCTTATTATCAACCGTTGATATGTTCCAAAACCTCCAATGAAAAAGGAGAAAACTGTCGTTTGGGCTTTTTAAATATTGATCCTCTTTTCTATTACAGGTAAAGTTCATGTGTTTTTGGGTCCTTTGTCCATATCATCTATTAAACCAACCAAAATGGAAAAATTCTTTCCTTGTTCACCATCATGTAAACCTCGTGAGTTTGAAGATAGAAGTTTTAAGTTGGGGTTCTGTTAGCCTAGATTTTTGACCATAGTGAGCTCAGTGAATGAAGAGGAAAGTTCAGAGAAAGCTAAGTGAATCTTATGGGTTCAAGAAATAATTTCGGCATGACACCATCAAGCCAAGAAGTCAAAATTTTAAGCATAAGGCAGAAGCGGTGACTTAGCATTTTTCAGGAAGATTGTCCAAGGATTTCAATGGCAAGCAAATATAATCAAGATTTCAACGACAAGGTTATCATGGATTTTTGACAACAATGGGAGAGAATAGCGACATAATTATTTTTTAGTCTTATCTGAAAGTACACGTGTATTCAAATTCATTGACGAAATGTATGCAGTGAAGACGTGTCAACTTATAAGGTGAAAGTCGTTGGAAGCAATTAATTGAGTATCAGTATAAATAATAGTTCTAGTGTTAGAACTCATGGTGTCAAAATCATTAGGAAAAGTCACAAATGTTTGGACCTAATGCCTCACATTTTAGAACCTAGAACTCACCCACACATAACAGGGTGTTTGCTCTTATGCCAATTGAACATTTGTTCTCAGGAGAACAAATGTTAGATCTGAGGCCAAGGACAACTTGTACAAATGGTTTATAACATATGATAGATTATGAGGACATACGTCAGACTTGATGTTAGGGACATTGTATACCATAAAAATTAGTTATTACCAAGATTGACAATTTAACTTATACAAGATGATGAAGCAAAAAAGCAATAAAGAACACAATAATTGTTAACACAGTTCAATGAAAATCACACCTACATCTGGGGAGATTCAACCAAAGAAAGGAAATTTACTACTTTGAATTAATACAATTATACTTAAAGAAGCATTTATAATTTCTTAAAGAAAGCAATAAATGGATTAAATTAGATATAACCAAGATTAGAAACTCAAGTGAATTAAGTGAGACTTATCTCTGAAAAAGGAAGTAATTGAAATTGCATGAAATCCTAGGTGAGTTTACCCAAGGGAAATAAAAGCTTGAATTGATCCTATTAAGAAATTCCTTTCTTAAATAATAATTGGCTAGGATTCAAAGAGGTTAGAACACATAATAAAGGTTTAAATCATAAGAAAAATAATCACCAGGTTTATAAATGTCTCACTGAAAAATATTTGGCCATTTAGAGTCCTTATGTTTTGAAAAATTAAAAAGGTCTAAAGTTAATAACCTTAGACCTTCTAGAAAAATTAATTCACCTATTCCGAAGAAAAACTAAGTACCAAAGATAAATCCTTAATGTTTTGCAGGTATGCTTTGTAGCTCAAAGTTTTAATGATAATGAATGAAATTGTACAAAGAAAAAGGTATACTCTTAGATATAAAATGGTTTAACATCTCTTCACCCCCTTTTTAGCCAAAATAAGACACGCTAATTAGGGTTAAAGGAATTCAAAGAGAATTTCAAGTATTGACTGCAGAGATGTTCCAATGACTTCTTCATATGATCCTAGAGGTAGGAAAACATGCCACTAAAGCCTATACACACTTTTTAAGACCATATATTCCCTTTTCAGCAAAGCTTGCTTCATACGTCAGAGTCAAATTACATTTGACATGACACTCTGTTGAGCTTTGCAAACAACTTCAGAACCAGAGTGTTTCTAATCAGACTAGCAATTTAAGCTACAACCACACACGAATCCACAAGGAAGAATTTCCAAATACTGCAAAGAATAATACTTCAGCCACTTCGCCAACATCTATCCTTCTATTAATATACCAGTATGATATCTATGTCACGAGATTTCACACATAGAGCTCTTCCTTGCTTCTGAAGCATTTAAGATGACGAGATGATGTCCCAACATTAGTCTGAGGGCTTCATTCATAAGTCCTCAATAGAACTTGAAGACCAACACACTTCATGATGAACCACTTGTAGAAGAGAAATTCTTCACACTAGTGATCTATCATTCTCATTTCAAGAGA